TGACTAAAAATGAAAAGAACAGCCATAGTTAACCCACCACAGCCTAAGGGCCAAACTCCCACCCAGCTACTGACACAGACAGGGAGATGGCTTATCAATTACCACTGCAAGAAAACAGACTCAGTTTGGGGAAAATTAATGTAATTTACTGTTAATTAAAATAGACTCAGGAGCAGAGACAAACGTTAAGACAATGCCTTTGCTCCCCTCTCTCTTAAGCCAAATCATATTCCTTCACCCCAGACTCCCACACCTCCCACCCAGGGCAGCGCAGGGGGCGGATGGGACAGCAGGGGCAGCTGTGGTTGGTCTGGAACAGCTTCTCTCCACAACTCCTGCCTATTTCCTCTGCTCTGGCATGGGCTTTCTCCCACGGGATGTAGTCCTTCAGGAAAACAAGAATCCTTAAAAATGGGTTCCCCACAAGAACTCTCCATCTGCCCCAGTGTGGGTTCCTCCTGGGTGGTATGGACACCTGCTCCAGTGTCATGGAGAGCATCTCCGCTGCTTCTCACTCCTTTTGGTTGCCTCCTCCTCTCTCTTTCAGGTGTTTTGCCTTTTCTTACACTCACTGTCCCCAAGGTGTCCCCTCCTTGGCTGTTGGCTCAGCTGTGCCCTGTGGTGGGTGCGTCAGAGCCAGTTGGAACTGTGTTTCCAGCACAGGGCATCCCTGGCCTCTCCTCACAGAGCTGCTCTGCAGCCCCTGCTGCTGGGGCACAGGCACCCAGTGCACAGGTTTAAAATTACTAGTGTTTTATTTAATAATAAAAAGAGCAATTTATAGGCTAAACCTAAAATCATAACCCCTATGTAAAAAATTTTCTGATCAATCACATAGGAAGAGGATTTGTAGCAAACACTAAGTACTAAACAGTACTATGAGAAAAGCAGTTCAAAAAAATCTAAAAGCATACTCAGAAATGACATTATTTCAGGGGATCAAACAGCAGAGGGAAGCTCACACCAAATGCTGTAATACTTGGGGCAGATGGGAGGTGCTGCCCACCCCTACACCCCTTGGGGTTATCCAGACAGGGCAGGAACTGTGGAGGCAAACTGCTGTCCAACACGAACTCCAGTTCAAACATGTCAGACAACTGCCATTGTAGTATTAAGTCATTTTCTCAATTATTTGAGGACACTATTGATAAAGGTCAGTTGAAGATTATGATTTGTCAGCTCCTTCCATCCTCTACCCCTTTTGTCCCACTACAGATTTCTCCGGAGCAATTCCAATTCATACAGTACTGAGTACAACACAGCTCTGATATGGGTCTGCTGGCCTGAGTCTTAACACTAAGGTGAATTTTCTTATTAAAAACAAAACAAAACAAACCAAACAAACAAACAAAACCCCTACTTTCCTCAAATATGAGATCCATATTTTTGTATATTAGCATAAACACAGTGAAACCAACCCTCATGAATAAAACACAAAGCAAACTTATAAAACAATTGTAAACCTACATTACAGCTTACATGCTGTTACAGAAAATGTTTAAGCTTTCCTACAGTTTAATCATCATTAATGGCACAGGGAAATTATTTACTATCAAATGGGTCAGAGAATACAGAAAGGTCTTTGCAGTATTGATTTTACACATAACATTAACTTCTTCAGTTGCACTTGCAATTGCCAAGAAGGCTTAACTAATATTAACTCCCCCTGTTATTAAGCCTCAAGGAATAGCCACAGTCAGGATGTCAAACTTATTTTTAAAGGATAAACCAAAACATCTCAGTGCTTCATGGGGTTGACTAGTAAGTGATTAAAGCGTAACTGACTGAACTGAATTTCTGCCAGTATCAACAAGAAAACTTTTTTAAAAGGTCAATCCTATGAATTATTTACTATTCTCTCAAAGCTGTGTCAACACATCAATTTACTCCCATTCTATTTCTCCTTTACAACCCCGACTAGAATCACTCTGTGGCAAGCAGGATGGTGACACAAGTCTGTAATGTAGTGAGCAGTGTAACAAGGCTAGGCAACTACCCAAATTATTCAATGCTTTCGAGACCTAGGAAGAGCAACTTCAGCACAAGCACAGTCCCATACAGTGTACAGCTTCAGAGCACCTTGGAAAAGACAGGGCAGGCCGTCATCATAAGATCACTTCTGTATAGGCATAACTCCTTCCAAAAACCTGTGCATGTGACTGCTTGGAGTAGCACCAAATAAGCTCCAGGAGGCAAAGCAGGCATCAAGTACTAATAATCAGTATTACTATATTATTATAACTGCAAAACTACCCATACAAGAAAACTACACTGCTTTAACCTTGAAGAATTGAACCACTAATGAAAGCTGTAAGAAAGATTCCTCAAAACTACATGTTTAAAAGACCCTCTTTCCACTGTCTATAATCAAGGTATTTTGTCCCTGAGAAGCTTACAACAGACTGTCAAAGCCAGAAGTACTGGGCAAAGTCAAACTACCCCACAGAAGATACAAGTATGTAACATAATGTTATGACCCTGTGAAGATACAAACCCCTTCCTTAGAAACAGCATTCAAGCTTAATTTGGATTATCACACTATTAAGATGTTTAATTCTCAAATTCTAATAAAAAAAGGATTGCCCATTAGAAAGTGCTGAAAACAAAGTGTAAATAGTTGGATGCTGCAAACCCACTAAAACATACTCTCAAAGAAAACATAAGTAATGCTTACCAAAGAGGTAATGTTATCCAATAAATTCATTAAAAGACAAATTAAATAACAAACCCAGTGATGATGTTAATGCTCTATTACTTCTTAATTAAGTTTGACCATGATGCACAACCTCTGTGCAAAGTCATGAAGACCTCTATACTACCAGGCTGCCTGAAGTGAAGCATGTTCCTCCGGACTGATTTCTCCTCTGCAGCACACACAAATAGCATCCATGTCCTACCAAGTACAGCTAAACCAGCTGTACTTGTAGAACTTAGGCCTAGATCAAATACTATTTCAACAACTACTTTTCACAAACGATACTGGAATTGTGCTACTGTTTCACAACTTCTGTTGAAATGTGCCTCTTCAGTCCAGATATGGCTGAGGAAAATCATTAGAGATTATCCTACAAATCTGTATGTTGCAGAACAGCAACCATTACCATGTTTAGATCTGAGAAAGATTCCTCACATACAATGCTTTATTTAAAAGTGTATTCTTACAGTTTCACTGAAGTGTAATTGATGTTTATAGTTTTGTTCCACTGGAAACTACACTAAGTATCCAGTTACCAACCATTACACTGAAGTTATGCCTCTGCTGTAACAGAATAACATTAGACTGACCTCTGTAAAACATGATGGAATTTTGGCCTTCATTTCCAAAAGACTCCAATTAATAGTACTCCTAGCATCTCTTAGCAGTGCACTGTCCTGGCTAAAATTAGCTGAAACAGTTTATTAAACACATTTTCTCACACTAAACTAGTGATGAAAACCCCTAACTTCAATCAAAAGCTCTGGAAAAGAACACTAATTCTTTTTATTCCTTATTCAGAAAATATGGTCAACTTCAATTAACAAAGCTTATGCAATAAGACAAAAATTAATGCAAACCTGAAATACTGCAATTACTTAAAACACAGTAGTTCTGTAGAAGATGATTTTCCTAGCTCATGAGTGTTCAAGTTTCTACGCAATGACTACAAAGCATAACATAAAGAAGTTCTATACATAGTGTGTACATATATATATGTATGTATATATATGAAGTATCTATATTTACTATAAAACAGCTATTTGCTTTAAAAAAGTAATCTGGGTTAAATGAATAATATGTAAGATAATGTGTGTGTGTTCGTATGTAAGATAGTGCATGTGTTCATAAGCAAAAGTTGCAGATTTCTGCTCAGACTGAAAAGTCAGGAAGCCTACTCATTGCAGTTCCTACTGCTTTTCAGACTTCTCAGCTACTTACTCAATAAGCAAATTCCAGAAATACACAAAGCTTCTCAAAAGTATTTTGAATACATGTAGACAACCTGTGTACTTAGCTACACTTCTATAGAAACATTGTTTTTAAATCCTACACAAATGTTATCAGCTTTCAGCAAGAACATTATGCATCAAATGAAATACAGATATCTCTAGTTGCAGTAGTATTAAAGAGTTCTAATGAAAATGTTCACATAAGAGTATCACAATTTTCACTGCACATTAAAGAATTCCACAGACTCTAGTTATATTCAAAATTAAGAAGATGCCAGTATGCTAATTTTCTAATTTGTTAAAGGAATGCATTTTTACTTCACACTGTTTGTTTACTGAATGTTCATGGTCAACCTTGACATTAATGGGACACAGCAATACAAGGCTTTGAAAACATATTTAAAAAGCAGTCTAAACTGCCTTCATGTTATTCCATGCTGCATTTTCTTGGACTAAAATTCTGTGCATTAGACATGGTCACCAACTTTTAAACCCTGTCACGAGTCTCATATTGTAAAACCGGCAATTCCTGTATTGATCATCAAATTACTAACAGAACATTCATACACAGTAGTTACCACAGATGTCCTAACTAGATGTGATACCTCAAATATTCATACAACAAAGACTTTACTTTTGCCTGACATGTTCTGACTTATCCTCATTTCAGTTCTTACTAACAAAAGAAAGAGAACAATAAAAAAACCTATTTTACTTGTTCCAACAAAAACCTGTTGCAAAATGTTGTGGGAGACGAGAGGTGAGTAGAAAAAACAGTTGTGTGCATAGGTCTAACATTTTGAAATGAAAGGTCATATTACTCTCTCTGTGAGAAACAATTTTAAAATCCTCTAGCAGAAATTTCTTTACAATGCGCATCATATGCTAAATTCCATTTAAAATTTATGAACACTCAGCTTATAATGAACTTTTTTAGTGCTGCCAGTACTTCTGATAGCGTTTTTGGTATTCTACACAGATGGAAGCAGATAAATTTAAAAGTCAAAAAAAGCTACTATCTAAGAGTGTCATTAAACAATACAACGAAAGCTGTAAAAATCCGACTGACTTACCGCTAATGCTTTAGATAATTTTGTTCTATAGTTATTCAAAACAATCGCATCAATCTCCTTAAATGGCACGTATGCAAAGCCATCTTTAATAAACACTCTTCTGGTTCTAAAAAGATCTACAGCATCCACAAGTCCAACCTGAGAAAGAAGAAAACCACACATTTTGGAACAGCAAAAATACTGCAGTAACAATGTTTACAGCCCTGAGATTGAAGATGGACCAGTAAAGCTTTAAGTCATTCTCTGTCTTTTAACACTGTCTCCAGACAAAATGCAAAGATTGTGAAATTACATGCTGACTTAGGAATAGCTGATCGTTATTTTAGTGGGAAAATACTGTTTGCTTACGGAAAGTCATGCAACTCATCAAAATAAGATACTTCAAGGTTCCTATCTACAATTATTAACTCATCTACATAGCTTTACACTGCTTACTGATTTGATATTTGAAAATGGACTTCTGTGGGTCTTCTGTTTCAGATGTCTTGAAATATTTGATTCATGTAAGCTACATTTAAGAGGTCTTGCTAACAGATCTGGAACCCAAACAACTTCACTCCAAAGAATCAGTGGGCTACATTAGAAACGTCTTTCCTCTCCCCTTGCTCTCTCACAAAATGAATTCCTGATTAATACAATCAGACCAAACACAGTTTCACCAACAGATGTTTGGGAATGTCTCCATCCTGAATTGTCCTTCAGCCAGGCAAATTAACTCATTTGTCTGGGAAACATTAAAACTTAAGGCCACTTTTGTGTCAAAAGCAAGGGATAGCAGAAGAGGACAGAAGACATTCATAGAAGTTTAAAACTCCCTTCATTTTTCCAGACCTTCCCCCTACCCTTACACCCACATGAAGCAGAGAAACTCTCATTAGTCTCAGTTACTTTAGATAGTTGGATTAACTGTTAGTATTGGGTAAACTTAAAATTAGTAACTGCACATTTAACAGAGAGAGAATGAATGCAGATCTGAGAAACTTAGCAATTTCTACTTACCTTATAGAACATTTGTTCTTTTACTTTAGGGAGACTGAGGCCAGGAGTTGATGCACACAGCTCATTTGTCAGTTCAGTTTTCTCATCTTCACTAACCTAAAATGAAGAAGTTGTTTTAAAACTGTTGAAATACTTTAGAATAAGACTTTTTTTTAATTAACATGAGCTAAAAGATTACTTCAACTGTAAATATATCATCAGTTTAGTTGAAAAGTGAAAAAGAATTACATATTCAGCAAGTGATCACTAATAATTAAATTAAGCAGAAACCAGCAAAACACTAGTGGTCAATAGTGTTAAGCAACTTTCCTTATGAAGCAAAGGGTCAGATTTTAAAATATAGTAATTTTAGAAATTAACAAAAGAACTGAAAAATATAGTTTTTAAAAGAAGTCAAGCTCTTTAAAATAAAACTCGAGACAATCCTTACTCATGTCTCAATTTACTATATGCAACAAAACAAAGCAGGGTAAATCAATGGCACTTAGTAAGGACTTTGTCACATTTTTAACAAACATCACATTCAGCTCATCTTTAAATCCTGACTTTTAACAAAATTAGATATAATCTTATATTCATAAATTTAACTTTCTTTTCTTTTAAGTAGCAAGAGCAGTGGTATATTTATTGTCCTCTAAATGTTAGCTCCTTTGCAGGTAAGTTCACAGGGAAGTTAAGCAGCAATGCTTTAATTTAACAACTTGAAGTATTTAACCCAAAATTTCTAGCTTGAAAAATCACAATGTTACACTTCCTAATACAAAAACTTAAATACTGCATATACATTAATACACATCACAGAATGACAGAATATCCTGAATGGGAAGGGACCCACAAGGATCGAGTCCAACTCCTGGCCCTGCACAGGACCATCCCCAAGAGTCACACAACGTGCCTGAGAGTATCATCCAAACACTTCTTGAACTGTGTCACGCTTGGTGCTGTGACCACTTCCCTGGGGAGCCTGTTCCAGTGCTCAACCACCCTCTGGGTGAAGAATCTTTTTATAATATCCAACCTAAATCTCCCTGACACAACTTCAGGCCATTCCCTCGGATCCTGTCACCGGTCACCACAGAGAGCAGATCAGTCTCTGCCCCTCCTCTTCCCCTCACAAGAAAGTTGTAGACTGCAATGAGGTCTCCCCTCAGTCTCCTCTTCTCCAGGCTAAATAGATCAAGTGACCTCAGCTGGTCCTCATACGGCTTCCTCTCAAGGCCCTTCACCTACTCTGGACATTCTCTAATAACCTTGTATCTTTCTTATATTGTGGTGCCCAATGCAAATGCATACATTTGCACAATATGTTTTTGATAAAGTATAATGGAAGTAGTCCCTGAGTGAAAGGGATTAAGTGTTAAGAAACACAGAACACCTTCTCAAAACATAAATGGACAGAGATGTCACCAAAGCATAACATGCTGTGAGACACTGCTGTCCATAAACTGCACGTGTGCTCCGTTATCTATGGTGAGGTGATGTCAGGCTGCAGTCAAGGTAAGTTCTTAGAGACTACTCAGGAACCAAGCCCAGGCCATCACATGCAGTAGATGCCCAGACTCCAAATGCAAGATAAAAAGGACACTGTCTTTCCTCTGCATAAGAGGTTTTCTTCTCTGAATGGGACAGAATATCTAATTTGCTGCCCCACAATGATATGCAGTTAAATGGGCATTTGAACCAAATTTTTTTCCTTCTCAATTGAGAAACTCGAGAAAGTGAAACAAAAGACTTTTCTTTGAATTCATAGGAAGGACCTTTTAATGTAACTTTGAAGACAAAGGAAATGCACAGTAGCATTGTATTTCTGCATTTGAAAATGTAAAGCTCAGGGAAAAACAGCCTGTAAGGCAAACATTTTTCTTTAACAAAGCAGCTGTATCAAAACAATTAAATGAGTTTCTGTAAATGCAACTAGAAAACACTTCCTATAAAATGTTCTCATTAACAATCTACTTCTTGATAGACTTTGAAAAATTCCTGCTTTTCAAACATTACACACTGAAACTATATACAAATTTCACACAGTGCTACTAGAACCCTGCAACTCTCTACAGATGATCTATTTCTTGTCTAAATAAATAGAAATCTAAGTCACCACATCAGTCTGCAAGCATGTCTTTCATCTACTATAGACCAAAGTTTGAATTTTAATTCCAAAATAGTGTCTTCCATTTTTCAAATCTCACGTTTTTATGCTTTCTTACTAGAAATTGCTTAAGACAGCCCAGTCTATCATGTTATTCCAAATTCTCAGTGACAGTGTCTTTAAATAAAAACACTACAACACATTGTAGCTGCATTACAGTTGCATCATTTCTTTTAGGATTTCTAACTAAAAAAAACACACCAACTCAAGCCAAAGATAGAGTGGGTGTTGGGTGGGTTTTTTTTCCAGAACACTATCAAAACAGTCCAGAGACTGATTTATAAACAAGCTAGCAAAATTGGGTGGAAAACGAGAATTTGTTCTTCCAAAACAAATCAGATAATTTTCATCAACAAAACCATTTTTTTCAGTACTACACTTAATTTTAAGGGGATTTTATCTTTAAGATACACATAAAAGAGTTATACTGACTCCAAACTTCACAAGTTGTCTAGTTCCTTCTTTATTAGTAATTTGACCAAATTAATCTTGTACAGATGTAAGTCACAGTGATTTTAGTTTTTCTTGCACGTCACTAGCAATTTAACATTGTTGGGGTAAAAGTACTCCTGCTGAAACCTCACGAAAAATAGGTTAATGGGCCATGACTAAAGATTTGGATAAGACTGTGGACAGTGTTCCCAAAAATACAGTTTTATCCAAAATTGTATTTTTTAAACAAACACAAGTATTATTGCAAAATACTATTTATAATACAAATAAATAATACTTCTAAAGCTGTAAAATAATTTACATCTTACAGCCTCAAGTATCTTATAGCTTAGGAAAAACTTCAGCAGCCTTCAAAGACTTTGATCCTTGCCTTTTCTCTGAATTCACATCGCCTTGACGTTTTCGGGTAATAGAGAAAGAAGAAAGGATATCCCTAGTCCCTAACTAAAGCTGAGAGACAACTCCAGAATGCATTTAAAAATAGAATTTGCTTCCCTAAAGACTGGAACACGAAAAATAACCTTCCATTGGCATTACTGATTTCACCCTTTTCATGTAAAATCGACTGAAGATGCAATGCAAAGAAATATGTTCCTCATAGTCTAAAGTCCGACTCAAGCTTTCAGTCAGGTCATGCCTGTATCTCTACATACAGAGCACCATGAAACATGTATCCCAATTTTTCTTGGTTCACAGAAGTTGGAAAAGATTATTTTTACTGTTGTTTTTATTTTTTAAATTGTTTTAAAAAGAATACTATGGTTTGTATATTTAATAGTTTCATCTCTAAAATGGCACTTGGAAGAACACATTTCAGTAATAATTAAAACCTAGACACAGCTATACACAGTTTTTAGGATTCTAATCAAGATTAGAAAGATAAACAGGTTGCTTAACTTTTGACAGCACTCAGTGATCCCCACCAGATAAAATACTGTGGTGTTCAAAACATTAAAAACCAAACCAACAAACAAACAAACAAAACCCCAAAAAAGCACCCAAAACAAAAGACAGAACTCTTCGGAGGGTCTCATCTGGTGAACATCTGACCTTCCACACTGTACTGATTCAACTCACCTCATCTCACAGAAAACAATTCACTAGTTTTGCTTCCTTTGTTTGTAGCCAGTTTAGTAAAATGCTGACCACTATGTCAGCCTTTGCTTTGCCTAAGCAAAGAACAACAGGAGAAGGATCTTCCCTTTTCAGTGATAGTGGGTCAGGTAGCATATCTTGAAACAATTCAACACTTCGTTTTAAGTCTCTCAGACTTAGAAAATTTACAAAAATAAAGATATAAAAAGGGAAGGCATGAGAGGAAGGGAAAGAAGCAAGTAGTCAGGACAAGCTGTATTATTTCTAGTTTTCTTGCTTTCTACGTGCAGTTTATTCATGGATTTTTAATCACAGAACTGTCCAGGAAACACAAATACACATAAATTTAGATTAAAATATGAATCATTTAATATGTCAGGCTTCATTACAGTCAGCGAGGTAGTTCAAAAAGTTCAAAATAAATTTGATATCCCTACTCTGTTTTAATGAAGAGATAAAGATGCATGTGCACATTATACTACTATACATGTGCAACTACTTAATTTTGATGTTTCTAAGTCTCCCAGTAAGGAACAAGAACTCCATGCACAAGTCCTTTCCTTTTCTAAACCTCAGCTTCAGGTATTTATGTGCACATGCCACTGGTGTCCTTAGAAAGTGAACTTTATAAAACTCGCTTTTAGTCACAGAGCAGCTGGTACTCCAGTGGAACAACACCCTTCCCTAAAAGAGATGGCTTCAGTCTCTCAATACTGTACCATATTGGTACTTTAAGTATGAAACAATCATTTCCCAATCAGTCTTCTCCATTTCCACACATCATGGTACAAACTAAACTAGAACTAGAAAAACAAAGTATTAACCTAGATGCCATTAAATTTAAGAATATATATCTAAAGTGTAATCAGCTAGTTAATGGATAATAGCTTGATTAGGAAAGGATATTCATTCCCAGCTGTCCTACCAATTGAAAGGATGAAGAGACTTAAACAAAACATGCCAGAGCCCCATAGATTTGTCATTCACAAATCTGATGATTATCAATTCCACTTTGGCCAGGTACAAATGAATTAAGAAGAAAACTGTATCTTCCATGGTACTACAACTTTCTATTTTAACTCAAATTCAGCTTGCTGGCATACCTAAAAGTATAAAGGGCAGCACTTGGAATTATTATCTACTCTTATCCATCAACTGAAATGGGCTTGTTTGGGCTTTTTTTAAAATCAGGAATGGGCACAGAAAGGACCTTTTCTGACTTTCCTCACTCTGCAGCTAATTCATGGTTACCATAATCACTGAGAGAAACTCAGTGATGCAAGTCCAGTTTCCTACCTTCATGACAAACATTTCCCTATATCCAGCAAAAGGAAAGCTGAACAAAATAATTACTACAGAACTACTCTAGAAACATCACCACAGAAATACTAGAGTCACA